GCGCCTCGATCGGCGCACCGCGTCGTGCGAGCGCGCGCCGTGGCGCATGCGTCGCGCCGCGGGAACTCGGGATCGGGCGCGTTCGACGCGTCGACCGCGGCGCGGGTGTCGGTGACGCGCGATCGACGTCGATGGATTCATTCGCGCGCGTCGACCGATGGTCGATTCATCTTCCGACGATCGATCGCCATCGTCGGGACGCGCGGTGCGAAGTCGTGATGGGCGACGCGCCCCGGCGAGCGCGCGGTGCGTCAAACGCACACCGCGAGTCACGCGCGCGCGCCGTCTCGAGGACCAGCGCGCGCGTCGCGCGGGCGTCGCGAGTGATGGCTCGAGTGATCACATCATCGTCGTCATCAATCATCTCGCCGTGCGCGCCGTCCGTCGACCCCGACGCTCGAGATCGCCCGTTTCGCGCGCGCGTCGAGCGGGAAACGGGCGGGGAAACCCGCATCGGTCGCGTCTCCGGTGGTCTCGTGCAATAGGGTTTAGGGATCCACCGCGCCACCACGTTCGGTGGCGCAGTGGCCGTCGAGCGCGGCGTCGACGGCCGGCGCGCGGCGTCGACGCGTCGTCGATCGACGTCGACCGCGACCGACCGACGCCGCGATGGGCGACGTCGCGCGCGATCGAGCGATCGACGGGCGTCGAGGCGACGCCGGGCGACGCGCGCGCGCGCGGCGGGTAGGTCGCGCGTGCGAGTCCGACGTGCACGGTGCACAGTTTTTTTCGACGGACAAGGTGTGGTGAAAGTTATGGGTGTTTTCAACCACCGCGCGACGCCCGCGGGGGGACGGGACCACCGACGCGCGCGCGCGCGACGTCGACGGCGCGGTGGGACGAGTGCGATCGCGCGCACGGAGGGGTGTCGTCGGGAGAGACGCGGGGGTGATGGATGATGGATGGATGATTGGGATTCAAACGCGGCGCCGCGGCGCCGCGCGGACGCGAGCCGCGCGCGCGATCGCGCTCGGCGCGCGCGGGATCGGTGCGTGGACGTCGGATGTTTTTACAAACCGATGCGATCGGTGTCGCCCATCAAGGGCGTGGGATCGCGGCCTAAGATTTCCCCCGTCGCGCCGCGCCACTCGCACACGCCGAGCGAGTACCCCCAATCGCTCTGCGTCTCGATCTCCACGTCCCCGACCGGTCGCGCCATGCACAACAACACCATCCCACTCTTCAACTCCTCCTCGCTCAGCGTGAACTCTAAATCGGCGATATCGCTCTGATCGATCGTTCCCTTGGCGCATCGCGCGACGCACGCGCCGCAAATGCCCCCGCGGCACGTAAACGGAATCTCAATCCCAGCCTCCAGCCCGGCGTCGAGGATGTACTGATTACTCCCGCACGTCACGTCCACGCGCGAGTCGTTCGCGCCGAGAAAGGACACGGTGACCGCGGCGCCTTTATCGTCCGTCTCGCTCGATATCTTTCGCTTGCTCAGGTCGATCGCGTCTCGCGCCGTCTTATCCGCGCCCTTTCCATTGAAAAACGCGCGCGTGGGCGTCCGCGCGCGACGGCGAGACGCGGACGAGGCCGGGCGCGGACGAAGCGCGCGCGCGTCGCCGAGCGCGAGCGACGCGCGCGACATCGCGCGTCGGTCGATGGCGCGGCGCCGCGCGCGGGGGCCGGGGTTTGGGGTCCGTCGTACTGTGGGTCGATATCCTCTAATAATTGGACGACCACCGTCTTCGGTGTGGGTGTGGTGTGTGTGTCTATATCCGTGAACACGGTCTCCAACGCGTGCCGTGTGTCCGAGAAAATAAAACCAAGTCCTCGCGGCCCATCGCGCGCCGCGACGCCGCGCGAGAGCGTCGCGCGCCATGGACGCCGCGCTCGACGCCGCGCTCGCGCGATGGGACGACGTCGTGCGCGAGGTCTCCATCGCGCTCGCCCTCCCGCGTGGGTCCACGATGTTCTTGCTCGGTCTCGCCCTCGCCCCGGTGTTCGGATTCGGGTTTCCCACGATCGATTGGATCTGTGGTGACGATCGTGCGCGGCGCGCGATGTGTCGGAGCGTCTACGCGCTCCTCGCGGGCGTCGCGTTGTCGTTGATGAGCTTTGGACGACAGACGGTGGTGTGCGCGCACTTTGGAGCGGTGGCGTACGCGGTGATGGCGCTCGCGAGGAGGCGATGCGGCGTCGTCGTCTTTCTCGGGTCGTTCGCGTACCTGATTCGGTTTCACGTCATGGCGGACACGGCGAACACTTGGAAGGCGGGTGAGGTGGATATCAGTGGGTTACTAATGGTGATGACGCTAAAGGTGACGGCGTGCGCGATGAATTATCAGGATGGCGCGACGGTCGCGGCGAGCGAGATGACGGAGCATCAGCATCGAAGACATCTGAAGACGTTGCCGAACGTCTTGGATTACGCGAGTTGGTTGATGTTTCCGTGTACCTTGGTGAGCGGACCCGCGGTGGAGTTCAGGGATTATTCGGATTGGTTGAATGGGAGAGGGGTATGGAGCGGTGAGGCGCCGAGCCGAGTGGCGGCGACGGCGAAGAAATTTTTCGGCGCCGCGACGTGCGTCGCGCTTTTCCAAGTGTTGAGCGTGAAGTACACCTTAGAGAGCGTATACTTGGCGCCGAATTGGCTCACGGATTACTCGTTCCTCGAGCGCGTGTGGCACATGAACGTCATGGGGCAGACCAATCGGTTCAAGTATTATTTTGTCTGGATGATGGCTGATTTTGCCGCGACGGTTTCCGGTTTGGGTTTCAGTGGGTACGACGCCAAGGGTGTCGCACGCTTCGATACAGCCGCAAACATTCACCCGCTCGGATGCGAGCGAGCGATCACGCTGAACAGCTTTCCGCTCAGTTGGAACGTCAAGACGGGTCAATGGCTTCGTCACTACGTGTATGATCGCGTGACGCCCAAGGGTAAGAAACCCGGGTTGCTGCAGCTCTTGATCACGCAGATCGTCTCTGGGCTGTGGCACGGTCTCTACGCTGGTTACTGGCTGTTTTTCGTCTCCTCCGCGTTCGCCCTGAACGCCGGTCGCTTGATGTACAGATGGCGCTCGAGGCGCGTCCCGGAGAGCCTGCGCATCTTCGTCGACGTCCCGCTCTGGCTCGCGACGCAGATGACGATTAATTACCTCGTGAGCGCCTTTATGCTCGTCGAATACAAGTCGTGCATGGACGCCTGGGCATCCGTGCACTACATCGCGCACGTCGGGATCGTCGTCATGTCCGTCTTTGGCGTCGTCTTCGCGCCGAAATCGAGCAAACCCAAGACGGCTTAAGATCGACGCGCCGCGTCCCTCGCTCTTCGAAGAGCGACGCATTTGAATGAAAACATCAGCCTTTCAATTCGCATCGTCGTCGTCATCACTTTCTCTCGCCCATCCACTCCGCGCGGCGTCTTGATCGCTCGTCGCGACTCCGCCAGACCCTGGCGCGTGTGCCCACCCCTCACTTCCCGTCGCGTCGATCGCGCGACATGTCCTCCCAAAGCTTTCTCTCTCGCGTCGGTAAGCTCAAGCTCAAGGAATTCCCTGAGTTCGCGTGGAAAACCGCTTCCGAGATCGATTACCGCGCGAGAGCGGAACGTTTCGCCAGTGAATACAACCAACAGTACATTCAAACCGGGAGCGTGAAGCCCCTGTGGCACTTCATGGTGGGCGTCTTCGGCGTCGCTTACGTCACCGTTTGGCCCACGGAGTACCGACACATGATGGCGGAGCGTCGAGGGGGGCACTGAGCGCAGAGTGAGAGATGTGTGATTGGATAGAGACGCGATCGGGACGGCGGAGCGGAGAGACGAGGTCGGAGCGTCGAAGAGTTTAGAATTGTAAAGTGTACGTAAACGCGTGATCGAGCATGACGAGGATTTGTTTTTTTCGTTCGCGTTACTCGATGGTTTCGCTCGGTTCTTTGTGATTTCGAGGGAAGGGGTTCTAGGTCTACTGTCTAACGTCGCTGGCGTCGAACGCGCTTTTTTTTCACGTCGCGAACGTCGCGTTTCGCCAATCCTTGCTCAGGTCGTCCAGGTGGTCGTCGAAATCGAAAACCTCCAATTTATCGCTCGACGATGGATCGATGACGCGACGGACGAGCTCCCGTACGTCCTTCCGCTCTCCGGTCTCAACAGTCGCGACGCGTCCGCGCGCGTCCAACTCGGTCCCGTCTAGCGTCCACGTCGCGAACGCGCACGACGCACCGTCGTCCTCCGATCGCGCCAATCGCTCCAGCGTCGATCCATCGTACGCGATCACGAACGTCTTCGAATGTGCGCCGTCACCGTCTCTTCGACGCGCGTCTTCGATCGCCGAACATAACCCGCGCGCCGTCGCGCTCGGCGTTCCATCCGCGCCTCTCATCGCGCGCGCCTCGTACACCCCGCCCACGTCACCCCCGATCGACCTCGCGTGGGTAAAGCACTGTTCGAGCGCGATGTCTAGGTACGCCGTCGTCGTCGTGTCGCCGTGAAACAGAGGCACGGCGTCGACGCACAAGATTCCGTGATCTTTCGAATCTTTCACGATGAACGCGCCCAAGACGTCGTCGGTGCATCGATCGAGCGCGTGCGCGATGGATACCGACGCCGCACGTTTACTCATCGTTATCGCACAGTCTGACATGACGCGGACGCCGAACGCGCGCGCGCGAAGCGTCAGAGTGTGACGCTTGTTTCTGAATTTTCCAAATTCACAACCGAAATCGTCCACGACTCTCTCCATGGACGCCCCGTCGTCCGAAGAACGTCGCACAGCGATGCAAGACATCTTTGAGTTGTTCTTATCCGCCGGATACCACCGCGCGCGCTTCACCGACGTCGCGGTGTTCGATAAACTCCTTGGATGTTTCGTCTGGGCCATTCTCAACTCGAGCGACGGCGACGAGCTCCACGGGCTCGATCTGAGCGCTCTGTCGGAAGAATCATCGTTGGGAGAGAAGATCGCGACGTGCGAGCGCGTCGAGCGGGCGTTGCGAGAGATGGGGTGTCCGCACGAATTACGCGCGCACCAAGTGAGAGGCTTGGACGCGGACGCGGCGACGCCCGTCGCGCGATGGTTAGTTCGCCGAGTCATCGAAAGACGAGAGCTGAGAGGGGATCGCGTGCGGAAATTTTCAAGGTTTGTGTATCGAAGGATCGATCGTTTGGATTCTTTAGAGGTCGGGGCGAGCGCGCGGACGCGGGCGACGCAGGCGGGGCGGTTGCGGGACGATTTCGGAGCGAGGCGGGCGTTTCGACGAGCGCGGGGGACGGCGCCGCCGAGAGAGAATCCGGCGCGGTGGGCGAAAAGCGTGATGATGGAATACGGACATAAGCTCGCGGGGTTGGAGGCGTTTGCGAGCGCGGCGACGGCGGTGCTCGCGGCGAGTCGGTGGAAGCGGAAGACCAAAGCGAGCAAAGCAGCGGGGACTTTACGGGCCGGGAAGACGGACGGAGAGAAGAGCGAGAAGTCGGAAGGCATCACCGCTCTCGTGAATAAGGTAAGTGCGTTGAATTTTGCAGCTCGAGGTGGAGAGGGTGAACATGATGACCTCGACGAGGATGACGAAGCGGCGGCGAGCGAATTGAGCGCGTTACAAAATTTGGAATCCGAGCTAGCGGTGGACGACGGATCGGACACGCTCTCGAGCGCTGTAGCGCGAGCGATCTTGGGAGCAAAGGGTGGTAAGGAGATTTTAGAGGCGGCGGAGAAGTTTTCGGGCGATTTAGACGTCGGAGGCGTCGTGGGAGAGATGTTAGCCGTGGAGCGGAAGATTGCCGCCACGGAGCGCAAGCTCGCGGCGGAGCTCGAAGCCGCGAACGAGGCGCGCGAGCGCATGGACGCCGCCCAGGCCGAGGTCACGACTGCGCTCGAAAAGCTCGAGGAGGTGAATTCGTACAACGAAAAGTGCGAGAATGAGACGAAGAAGCTTGACGAGGCGGTGACCAATCCCGAACAGCGCGAAGCCGTGACGAGACTCAAGGAGCTCATCAAGCGCGCATCCAGCTTAAAGGCGGAGGAGAAGGCTTTCAAGGCGGAGTGTAAGAAGCGCATGCTCGAGCTCAAGGAAGAGGTCGAGCGTGGGGGCGAGCACACGCTCACCGAAGAGGAGCGCGCGCAAATTGAAGAGGTGGAGGCAACGCACGCCCGAGAGCGAGAGAAATTCGAGGGAGAGCGAGCGATGCTGAGCAAGCGCGCGCGGGCGGTCGCGCTCCTGAGCCGAAAGCTCGAGGACATCCCGACCCGTCCAGAGTTAATCCAATACGAACGCCGCTTCGAGGAGCTCTACGACACCGTGCAGGCGAAACTCAAGGAGACACGCAAATACTTTGCCGCCTACAATGTCCTCGCCGACACGAAGAAGTACCTCAACAAAGAGATATCCCTGTTGAACTCGATCCACCAGCAGGTGCAACCGGCGCTGGAGACGGTGAAAGGGAAATCTTCCCTCGTCGACGCCCTCAGTTCGATCGAGGACGGCGTGCGGCAGAACATCTCGCTCGTCGAGGAAAAGCTCGCCGCCGAGCGCGAAGCCGCCGACGCCGCGCGCGAAGCCGTGGACGACGCCATGCGCACCCAGCGTCAGCACGCCGCGCTCGTTCGCGATTTACGCGATGCCGCCAAGCGCGAATCAGACCTCCGAAAAGCCCTCGCCTCGGCGTGAACACCGCCGTCTTTGTAAAATATCCGCGCGCGTCCCGACGCCGCCCCACTTATCCGCTCGCGTCCAACCATGACCATCGCCCTCGCCCAGAACTCCCTTGCGCTCCGCTCCGGCGCCGCCGACGCGTCCAAGAGCGTTCAACGCTCGATCAAACGACGCGTCGTCGTCGTCAGGGCGTCGCGCGACGACCAGGAGTCCATCGAAGCGATCGAGCAGAGACTCAAGCAGAGACGAAACCAACCCACGCCTTCGGGTGTGCGGAACGACGCCAGCGCGCGCGCGGGAACGAACCCGGCGCTCGGGTACCTGGATAACGCGGCGCGACGAGACCGAGTGAAACCCGGGGCGAACGGGCAGTTGGCGGCGTGGGAGAGCGACCCGGCGGCGTGGGACGAGCGAAACGTGGGCGAACGCGCGTGGATCATCTGGACGGGGGAGAAGGGATGGATGTACTGGATGAATCAAGCGTCGTTATACGGTGCCGGGGGGTTGGCGTTTTTTTGGGTCGCGTTTCGGTTCGTCGGACCGGCGATCGGGCTGTACAAGTTGAACTAGGGACGACGGCGCGCGCGTAGGCTGTATTAGGGCGTCTACGAATATCATTTACAAAACGTCGCGACGTCTACGGGCGCGGCCAAGCGACGAGGGTCCGCGGACGAAGGATCGCGACGACGCCGCCCGGGGCGGACGTGAGTTGACCGAAATCATCGGGCGATGTGCCGTTTGAACGGTTATGCGCCTCGCGCTCAGGTCTCGTCAGGTCTAAAACGCGGTGCGGATCCCAAATCAGGGAAACATCCGCCGCGCGCGCGAGTTTGTTCGCCGTGAACATTTTATAGCCGTTCCAGGACGCCATCGATCGAAGAGCGTCGTTATACGCGCTCGGTTCCTCGCGCCAACGATTTCTCGCGACGTCCGTAAAGAGGTGCTTAAACTCTGGCTTTGATCGATACGTACGAAGGTAATCTGACACCACGACCGTGCGCACGCCCCTCACTCGCGCTTGCTCCACGCACAGACTCAATCGCACATCGCTCGTGATCACCATCGTCGCCAGTGTGCTCGCGACGCCGTCCGCGTGCGCGTCTCTCGCTCGACAGTACACGTCCGACATCAAGAGCTCATCCGCGGCTTCGCTCATCGTGCGCACCTCGATCACGTCCACGCCCACGCTTTCTAGCGCCTCTCGCGTGGTCGGATTCCCGAGCGTCCTTGAGTTTCCGTACGCGCGCACACGCACGTCGGTCGCAAACGCCGAGCCGACGTCCGCGAGTCTCCGAGCCCACAGCGCCTGCGCGTTCGAGCCCGTCAGTCACTCGAGCGCGATGAAGACGAAAAACGAAAAGAAAGCGCAAAAATGAATGAGTGAATGTCGCGACCTTCATGAACTCCTCCGCCCACGGAACAGGATCGAAGAAGCTTCTGACGATCGACGTCGTTGTCGCCCGGCCGTTTAACTCGCGGTTCACGTCGACTCGATGAGTCTGAACTTGGAGCTGGTAAGCCGGGCTTTCACGGGTGTAATCGCGAGACGAAAAAGCGTGCGATCGAAATCCCCGTCGTCAAATAACCGCGTCGCGTCGCGCACATCGTTTTCGACGTCACGTCGCGGACGCGCCTCTAACCCGCTCGGCGGCGATACGTTATCGACGTCCCAATACGCCACGATCTCCCGCCTTCGCGCGTCGCCGAGATCTGAGTCACTCGTACTCACGCCGACGTCCGCGGCGCTCGCGCGCGCGTCGCGAGCGGCCGTGCGCGGAGAACTTGACGAAACTCGACGCGACTTCGCCAGAGCCGCCACCGAACAAACATCGCGACGCCGCGTCGCCGATGCTTCGGTTCGGCTCGAACGCGCGCGCGCGTGACGCGCAACGATCATCATGAACCGTTACACATGACCGCGGAAGACGCGGGACGGTCGCGCGCGACGAGTTCTGACGCGCGCCGAACGACGGCTGTGGAGCGTTCGCGCGCGAGAGCGAGAGAGGCGGATTTGAACGCTATCGATCGGTATTACTTCCACTCACTCGCGCTTACGCTTTGAAATCATCGGGTTTGTCCCACTGGGAGACGCCGGTGAGGGCGTTGTAGTAGTAGGTGTTGCCCTTGCCGTCGTCCAGAGCGCGCCACGGGTTTCGCGCGATGGCTTCGTATTGCTCCTTGGAGATTTGCGGTTGGCTCTGGGCACTGTACGCGGCGTACATCTGGGCGTACATCGCTTGCTGCTGCGCGTACGCCGCGACATCCTGCTGTGCGTACGCCGTCGAAGCGGTCTGCGTCCAACCGGCGCTCGCGTACGGAGCGGCGTTCGCGCTCGAGGCGTATCCAAAACCTTGACCCCCGCGCGCGATCTCGTTAAACACCGCCGTGGATCCCCCCTCTAAGATCTCGTTCACCACCTGTGTGCACGCGTCCACGCACGCCTCGGCACCAGCCATCATCACCACGCACGGCTGTCGCGTCTGATCGATCTGCAGTCTCGCGCCCGTCGCCGCTTGTATTCCGCGAATCGTCTCCCCGCCGCGTCCGATGATCTTCCCCACGCGCTCCTTCGGGCACTCGATGCTTCGCGTGATCTGTCCCGGGATCACTAACATCCCACCCATCGCTCCCGTACCGAGCAATAAATTTTCCACGAGCTCGCTCGCGGCGTCCACGCTCTTGCGCGTTCCCGAAATCGTCACCCGCTTCGGCTCCCCATCCGCCCCGCTCTGGTCGATCGCCACGTGCGCCCCGCTCGTCGCTTGCAACGACTTAATCGTCTCCCCCCCCCGGCCGATGATTCGCCCGACCATGCTCTGCGGACATTCCAACGATCGCGTCACGATTTCATTCTCCCGTTCGAGTTCCAAACGTTCGCGCTCCGCGTTCGCGCGCGCGGCTTCCACGTCCTCCGCGCTCGGTCCCCGTCTCGCCGCGTTCCTCGCCGCGGTCACCGCCGGGTCCTCACCCACGGCCGCTCGAAGCGTCACGGCGTCGTCGTCGTCGTCGTTCGTCCGCGCGTCCGTCACGTCGCCGTCGCCGCCGCCGTCCGCGTCGCCGTCGTCGTCATCATCTCTCCTCTCACCGTCCACGCCCGCGCGCGGTCGCGCCGACGCCTCGTTCACGGTCGCACCGGCGTCGTCCGCGGTCACCGCGTGCACGGCGTCGTCGTCCGCGTCCGCGCGGCGTCGTTTCGTCCCGTCGTCGTCGTCGGTGGCGCGATGTCGTTTCATCGCGATCGTCGCCTCGGTCGTCGCCCCGTCGGTCGCTCGCGCGTCGTCCGCGGTCGCGGTCGACGCCATCGCGCGCGCGGTGACGCGCGCGCGGCGTCGGGCCGTCCGGCGCGGTGTGCGGCCGAGCGTCGTCGGCATCATCATCATCATGCATCGTCATGCATCGTCATGCATCTTCATCATCATCACATCATCACATCATGCCGCGCCTCGCGCCCCGCGTCGCGACGCGCGACGCCCTGGCGCTCGTCGTCGCCGCCCTCGTCGCCATCGCGCGCGCGCGGGCCCTTACTGGACGCGCGTTCGTCCCGAATACCGCATTCGCGGCGATGGACGACGCATCGTGGACGCCGCTCGTCGTCCACGACCGCGCGCGCGCGGTGACGACGACGCGCGACGGCGCGTTCGCGGTGCTCGACTTCGACCGCGGACGCGAACGGGGTGGAGGCGCGGTGCGCGCGGCGATGGCGACGGATGGATGATTCGGCGACGAAGCGCGACGACGACGACGACGACGACGACGACGACGACGGGCGACGCGCGAATGGGCGAAAGGTGGCGTTCGAGGCGGAAATGGTGGGCTTCGCGAACGGGCGCGCGCGTGGACGACGCGGGCGGATCGGACGCGGACGCGGCGCGGAGGTCGTGGCGGCGGCGTTCGCGCGGACGCGGCGCGGACGCGAGGTCCTCGTCGTCGTCGGGAGAGATCTTCGCGTGGTGTGTTTCGATGCAGATTTGAGAGAGATGTGGCGGCGGAGCGATGCGGTGGTGGACGGGGGTGCGGCGGGGTTTGAGGTGTTCGCGACGGAGGCGTCGGCGTTCGCGAGCGCGGCCGGGGCGGAGGGCGGGCGACGACGGATTGATCGTCGTCGGGGCGAGGTATGAGCGACGACGTGGAGCGAGTGACGCGCGTTCGACGTCGTCGATGATGACGGACGATCGGTCGCGCGAGAAGGAGATGATGCGCGACGAGATGGAGACGTCCGCGGGGAGGTTTGAGTACTTTGCGTTCGACGGGCGCGTCGAGGTGGGGAGAACACTCGAGCGACGACGATGCGCATCGCGCGGGGTCACGAGGGCGAGCGAGCATGAAGAATTTAGACGACAATGAAGTCATCGACGCGCGAGAGCGCTCGTGTGGGGATTTCAGGGAGAGCATCGTCGAGGACGCGCTGCCGCATCAGTGGCGTCATCCGAGCGACACGAAAATGTCTCTGGCGCACTTTAAGCGACATAAATCTCGCGCGAACGCGATGAAACGCGATAAGGAGTCAAAGAATAGGCGTCAACGTCGCGATCGCGACGTCGTCGTCGCGAACGCGGCGACGCGTACGGTCGGCGCCGCGGTGGACGCCCTGCGCGGTACGCCGATGACGAGGCGAGCGAAGCGACGGGCGCGCGACGCGCGAGCGACATCGAGCGATGACGTGCCAAATGTCATCGTCTCGCACCACGCCGAAGGGGTGGACATCTTACACCTGCACTCTGGCGACGTCATTTGCTCTCTCTATTTGAAGTCTCCCGGTTTACACGTGGACATCGACGGCGACGGCGTGATGGACCACGTCGAGGCACACGGCCGCGGTTCTGTGGGGAGCGATCTTCCCGCATGTTGGGCGACGGTGACGTCGGGGGTGCCCTCGGAGGAGCGCGCGCTGAGCGCGAGCATTTGTCGCGGAGGAAGCGGTTTGAGCGGACATCGTCTCGCGCAGCAACAAGGATACAGTCTGCACTCCGTCGAGGTCACGCCTCCGGTCTCGCTCCAGCGCGTGCCCGAGACCGCAAACGAGCTCGCGAAACCAATGTCGAGACTCGGACGCGACGCGATATTCTTAAACAGTCGCGGTGAGATGACGTGTTACGACGCGCGAGACGGCGAACAGCGGCGTTGGCAGATACGCACCACGGCGGATTGGAACCCGGGCGAGGACGCGATCGAGCCCTCGCTCACGTCCTTCTCGCTCCACGTGAACGGAAAACCCGACGTCGTCGCCGCCGTCGGCGCGAGATCCATCGTCATCGTGAACGCCAAGGGATATCGCGCGGCGCCGCCCATCGCCCTCTCCGTTCCGCCCGCCGGGCCGCTCATCGTCGCCGACGTCAACGGCGACGGTCTCAACGACATCATCCTACGCACGCGATACACCGCGTACGTCTGGCATCAAGTTCCGCGATCCGGGAGTTCACCGCTCGCGTTTCTCGTCGCCATCGCCGTCGTCTCCATGGCGCTCGCCTTTGGCTTCGCCCGCGCGCGCGACGCCGCGCCCGGACCCGATCGCGACCGGTTTCCCACCCACTCCGACTCCGACTCCGACGAATAGACCGATAGACCGATAGACCGATAGTGGTACCCATTCGTGCGAACACCGCTCGCGAGCGCCCTCGCCGCCGTCGCGTCGTCGTCGTCCGCCGCGACCCGTCCCCGACGCGTCCACTCGCCGGACATCCCGACGCCCACCCCCTCCGGCACCCTTCCTCGCGCGGCGACGCGCGCGCGCGACCGTCGAGCGCGCCCGTCGCCGGGCGCACCGCGCGTTCCCTCGCCCGCGATGGCGAACGAGCGAGGCTTTTCCATCCCGCACAACATGTTGAAACCCGGTGCGCGCGTGAGCGACGACCGCTTCGCGATACACGCCCGCATCGGTCGCGGACAGTTCGCCGAGGTCTACTCGGCCACCGACGCGCGCGCGGACGGGGCGATGCGGGCGATCAAGGTGGAGAGCGAACATCGGACGTGCGCGCGCGAGGCGCGGGTGATGCGGGCGATGGGCGGAAAAGAACACTTTCCCGAGCTCCTGCTCGAGGGCGCGCACGAGGGCATGCCGTTTCTAGCGATGGAGTTGGTGGGTGAAAATCTGGCGGACGTGCGCGGACGTCGAGCGGGACAGCGGTTCGGACAGCGGACGACGGCGGCGATCGCGCGGGCGCTGTTGGACGCGCTCGAGTCGTTGCACGGCGAAGGATACGTGCACAGAGACGTGAAACCGGGAAACGTGTGCTTGGGTAACGGGAAATTGGGGATGAAAAAGTTGTATTTGATCGATTTTGGCCTGGCGCGTAAGTTTACGGATGACGACGGAAAGGTGTTGGCGGAACGAGACGAGGCGACTTTTCGAGGAACGACGACGTACGCGAGTCCGCACGCGCACGCGCACAAGGAACAGAGCGCGCGAGATGATTTGTACAGCGTTTTGTACGTCGTCGCTGAGGCGCACGAGGGGGTGTTGCCGTGGAAAGCGGGCGAAAAGTTGAGCAAAGACGACGTGGAGAAGGAAAAGCAGGCGTGCGCGAAGGATCCGCGAAGGCTGTGTCCGACGCAAGGGTGCCCACCGGCGATCGAAAAGTTCGCGCGGGCGATCGCAAAGCTCAAGTACGGCGAAAAGCCGAATTACGCGGCACTTCGCGCGCCGTTCGAGGAAGTCATCCGGAACAGCGGCGGCGACGAGAGCCCTCTGGACTGGGAGACGCAGCCGGTGCCGGCGTCGCAACCGGTGCCGCAGCCGTCACCGAATCGATCGGCGCCCCCGCCTCCGAGCGGGCCGATTCCGCCGAACGCGACGTACGCCGACGTGGCGGCACAGAACATCACCGGACGCAAGCGCGAGCGCGAGAACAGCGAGCGCGCCGCGCCGGCTCCGCAGGTTCGTCCGAACCCCGATCTCGTCATGATAGCTCGACGAGAGCCCAGTAGATTACCGCCTCATATCGCTGACGCCGTGCGAGGCATCGTCTCGAGGTTCCCGCTCGACGAAGCGCTCGCCGTGGCTTCCGGTTTGGTGTCGTTTGCGCTCGAGCGATGTATCGAGCGCGACCCAGCGTTTCCGCGCGATATTTTCGTCCCGTGCGCGCTCAGTCTCAGAGACATATGTTTCGATGCCGTCGGTGACGTCCACAAGCGTTTCCCCGCCGGTGGCGGACAGAACGGACGCGGTCGGGACCGCGACGGACGCGGCTCCGGGAGAGACGGACGAGGAGACGGATTGACCAACAGAGAACGAAGCCCGAGTCGAGATCGTGCGGGAGGCGGTGATCGACCGAGATTTGGTGGAGGGGAACGCGAGCGCCCGCGTCGCGATGATTTCCGTGGCCGAAGATGATACCTCCAAGTGTTTGGTGCAGTCGTCGCTCCAGAGCCCGACTCTGCGCGCATGTTGAGCGCGCGCGCGCGAACGCTCGCGAGCGCGCGATCAACGTGCGCGGCATTAGAAACGCGTCGTCGAAGCGCGATCTCTCGACCGATCTCGATCGCTCGCGCGACGACCGATTCCGACCGAGACGCTGAATTCGTTGTTAACAATCAATCGAGCTTCTGGGACGCCAAGCCCGCGTGGTGCCAACCTTGGACGATCGTGTCCACGGGGACGGTCGCGATCGCCACACCGGGCGCTTTGTTTCACGATGGCGGGTGGTTGGTGAACGCGGCGACGGTGGTGGTCGCGCTCGGCGTGAGCGCGTGGTGGTTTCTATTTCTCTGGGTCGTCCCGCGCGAGTACGACGCGCACCGCGGAGGTCCATCATCGGACGCCGACGACGACGCACGGGGGTAGCATTCAAATCATTAGCATTGTCTATTAGATAATAGTTAGGACAATACCGGTAAACGTACAAGTACATGGACGCGCGACGGATCTCGTCGCGTCGCGCGTGTAAAAGGGCGCGCGTCCTCCTCTCGCCTACCCCTTCTGTCCTGCATAAAAATCACTCGTTCGACAACACAAACGACACGAACTCATCGTAATCCACCTCCCCATCGCCCGTGGTATCCGCCAAGCGAATCGCGTCTTCAATCTCTTGTTCCGTCAATTTCTCCCCCACGATGCGCATCACCGACTTCAACTCCTCCGCCGAAATCGTCCCACTCTGATCCTTATCGAACACCGCAAAAACATCCCGCAGTTCCTTCTCCGGATCACCATCATTCATCTGTCGCAGCATCATCGTCAAAAACTCCGCGAAATCAATCTCGCCGTCGCCGTCGGCGTCGATCTCACTCACCATCGCCGCCAACCGCTCCTTCGTGGGTTTCTGCCCGAGGCTCTTCATCACCTCCCCGAGTTCTTGCGACGTGATCGTCCCCCCCCGATCGACGTCGAAGATATCGAACGCCTCCTTGAACTCCTGCACCTGCGCGCGCGTGAGGTACGGCCACGAGCTCGCGAGCTCTTCATCGCTCAAATGTTTCTTCGACATGCGCGCGGTGGCGTCGACGCGCGCGCGCTTTCGAGCGCGCGACTCGTCGGCGACGACGGCGCGACGATCGACGTCGTCGCCGAGCGCGCGCGAGCGCGGCGCGCG